TCTGACACATTCTTTACGTACGATAGAGGGTGCCAGATTGTTGGTAGCTCACCTCCGGTTGTCCTCTGTGGGTGCGTACGGAGACAGCGGCTAGCGAAGCTATTCGAGTATCCACCCCTGTCAGTCAGATGCTGTAGTTATAGCACTCATCCATCAGATTCATTGCAGCGTGTTTTCATCCCCTGGAAGAGTACTCTAAGGCACACACACTTATGTGTGGTTGGGTGGTTGCTCTCAAAGTTGAGCACCTGTGTTGTGTTAGACCTGCACTAACCATACGTTGTGTTGAACCGAACGCCCCACGTGTTATACGTAAGCGCGTTTTTTTTCAGTTCAGTGTTATGAAGGAAACGATAGGCTAACGCCTTTGAGCTTATCACGGGGGTTAAGTGAGTTAAACCCTGGCAACTGCAATCTTCAGGTCCGGTTCACTAAGAGATGAGAGAAGTCATGGGAAGGCCAGAATGATAAGAATAATGTATTCTGTATAGACGGAAAGGAGAATAGTTAGGAGGAAGTCTTGACTACTGGAGCGCACGTCTAGCCACGAGGTGGGCTAGGTCCGGAGTGATGTCTAGCATCAGCCACGGCCTTGAGGTCTGTACAGACAGATTGAGGTCACGCCACTGTAAGTTGAGGCCAGAACGGGAGAGGCACGGTGCGTGTGGTTGCCAACCATGAAGATCGCGCGTCCGGTGCGCATGGCCCGAGGCGCGCGAGCAAACTGCCTTCGAGCGAGGTCCTATACTATGAGTGACCTAGTCTGTGGCGTCGAGTGGTAGCAGGGGGTCGGGCAGCAGTGACTATTACAAGCTCTCTATTGGTGAGAAAGTGGCTAGGAAATGTATAGATACGGAGGAAAAATTTGAAAGAGACGATGGCCATCGCATAAGAGAACACTTGGGACGAAAGAAGCGTGCGAACAGAGATTCTGACTTTTTGGTTAAATTTAGAGCACTGCAACGTGAATCCGGATTCAACACAACCGACGCTAATCAGGTCACCTTAATTACTTCCTTCGGATCACCAGTAAGCCAAAGTGGCGTCACAGACGAGACCAAAGACCTTCTTCGACACCAATTCACTTGTTCGCTCATGTTACACCGAAAGACCCATTCACTTCTAAGAGGAGAACAAAGGGCCCTCAAGGAGTTAAAAACAGATGCCCAAATAGTTATTTTGCCTGTCAACAATGGCTCGATAAAGTTGGTTACTTAAAACCCGAATTTTCCTCAATGATTAAGAGTTCAGAGTCAGCAACGCCACCAGCCTACAGCCACTACTGGCGACCGTGAGTAGAATTCTCGGTTGAGTAAAGAAAGTAAAGGTTATCACCATCAAGACTGAAACATAGCGAAGCCCACTTAGTCGGCCAAAGCACGATTCTACGGCCTCCCAAAAGTACCCAGACCAGACGTGTACCCACGGCCAATCGTCTCCGGCTGGCAAACTGGCTATTTCAGAAACTGAAGTTTCTTACGGCGGTCTCACAAACGACAGTCCACTTGACAGTAAAATTCCTCGACAAAATAAAGACAGTCACAAATGAACCAGACTAAAGGATGTTGTCATTCGATATTATCGCATTCTTCAGATCCAAACCACAAGCCCTTGTTGTCAAAAAATCCGAGACCTTCTATCTCAGAATTACGATGAGAAAGACGGTAAACCCGCAAATCAGGATCGCATAGAAATCATGGAGCACAGACTCAAGGCCTTCTTCATCTTCGAAAGAACCACATATGAGCAAATCAGAGGCACCCCAATGGGGTCCCCAATCTCTGGGATCATTGCCGAGGTGGTACTACAAAAACTCGAGGAACGGTTGTTCGAATAGTACGAAATCATAGTTTGGGCAAGCTATATTGATGACACTTTTGTAATCATCACCCAGAATAGAACCAACAACTACAAAGAGTGGTTGAACTTGATTTTTTTCCCCATTCACAGATCACAGAAGCGAACTGGAGGAGGGCAGACTTCCGTTCCTGGATTTTCTCGTCTGCCGCCAGCCGGACGGCAAAATGGCAACGTCTGTCTACCGTTAATCGACAAAAAATTTGAAAATATTGAGGTATAATAGCAATCACCCGCTGCAACACAGGCAAAGTTACATACTCACGATATACCGATGAATAGAAATCCAATGTGGAAAACCAACAGCAAAACGGGACGGGGTGAAGCTCCTCCTGGAGCTATTCAGAGCTAACGGCTATTCAGAATCGAATGCTACCATAAACGCAGACCCAAGAGCGTTGCCCACCGAGGTCGTTGCGGAGCATCCCGTACATGAAAGGGGTCTTCACAGTCGTGCCTAGATCACTCGCGCCTTTCGGAATAGGAGCTTCTCACTGGTCTGCCCTTACACCCCAGCAACCAGTAATGCGGTCGAAAGAGCCCATCCCGAAGCAGGAGAAATCAGGCGATCTCTACCGAGGTTAGTGCAGTTGCAGGATGTGCAACTACGTTGGAAAAACTGGTCGGCAACTACAAACGCGAATGCATGAACATTATTTGGCTGCAAGTATGTTGCACCCAAAGTTGGAGGTAGCAATCGATGCTGCAGAGATGGGGCAGGTTTTCAAATTTTATGCCAGGTAACTTGTGGACAGAGTTGACTGTCACACACCAAGGCAGCTTAAAGCAGCCTGGATTTCGGTCTACAGTTCTGTTAACCACTATATACATTTGCCTGCGCCCTATGGTGTATTAAAAACATTCTTTTTAGAGGACCGTCACGACCTGAAAGAATCGGCCGCCTGCCAGCTCTGGAGTCAACACGCATGTCCATGAAACAGGTCATGGCGAGACGAGTGCTGACGCGACACAGACGAGCAACGCACAGGGAGACGAAGCAAACACTGGCGCCCCAGTGACAGACAGGAACAACGAGTAGACCGATAACGAGACACGCAGAGCGGCTCAGCCGGGATTGTCAAATTACGCATGCGGAAGAAAATAGAAGCCAATAGCGAGAGTCCGGAGTCAGGATATTCAATCAATTTCACACTTACATCATTGATTGGATTGCAGCTCCTAAAAATGGTGCCTACTTTGACGCTGCTGCTACCTCTGATAGTAAACTTCTGCTTGAGTTAGAAACCTCGGAATTGCTCAAAAAAGTTCTTGATCTACTCTTTCCGCTGACATGCTATAGGCTATGGGGTAAAGAGGCATTCATGTGATTGCAGTACATCTCACCCTAATAGCAATGCCAGTGCGATTCGAAATCTACTTTTCTCGCTACATTCGAGCCCGCAACTGATTGGCTGATAGGTCCTATGTGCTGGCGTAAATAAGGCCGTCAACCAATGAGCGCACAGCTGCCCACCTGTGAATAGATTATCGATTCCACTACAGGCC